CTCCAGGGCGAGTGGCACCTGGTAATACCCACTGCGGAGGTCCAAGGAGGAGAACCAAGAGGACCCCGAGACCAGGTCCAGAGACTCGTCAATGTGGGGCAGTGGGTATGAATCCTTCTTTGTTACTCCATTTACAGGCCTGTAGTCAGAGCAGAGTCGCCAGCCACGTATGTTTTTTGGAACCATGACAACTACTGCTGCCCAGGGGCTGTCAGAAGTCTCGATGATCCCCGCCCGCAGCATGCTCGTGACCGCTTCATCACAAGCCTGCTGGCGAGCCAGCGGGAGGCGGCGAGGGCGGCACTTGATAGGTCGCGCGTCCCCTGTGTCAATCTCGTGCTGTACTAGATGAGTTTGCCCTACCTCGTCCTCACTCCTGGCGAAACTGCCTCGAAACTCTAGCAGCAGCTGCCACAGTTGTTCCTGCTGCTGAGGATGTAAGCAGCCACAGTTCTTGCTCCACACCTCCCTTACCACAACCAGAGTCCCCTCATCCTCCTCCAACCCAGGCGGGGTTGGGGTTGCGTAGGCCATGGTGGGGTCAGATGGGGAAGAGGCACCCTGGGTGGGTTCCTCAGGGAGGCAGGCGATGGGTGGCAGGTTGCCAGATACAGTACAGTCTCTGGGGGAGAGGCACCCCTTGTTGGTTCCTCGGGGAGGCAGGCGATGGGTGGAAGGTTGCCAGATACAGTCTCTACCGCACTTGCGGATCGTGTGAGAGGTCTGGGAGGAGGCACAGTAAGGGTGTGGATGGTGGTCATCGTGATAGCATGCCCCCCTTTGAACCTCACTGTGCCTCGTTGCAGGTCCAAACCCAGAATACATGGATCCTGCACTGAAGCTATCCACACCCGGTACAGTACAGTCATCCCCCCCACAGATATAGTCAACAGACATATGCCTTTCATGGGTGCCAGCTCTCCGGTGACTGTGCGCAATCGCACAGAGGTGGGGTCGAACAGAGTCCCATCCGGGACCATATCTGGTCTCACCAACGTTACTGTTGATCCTGTGTCCACTAATGCAAAACAGGGTACTCCTTCCACAGTGACAGGGACGAAACAAGAATCGCCCTTACCGGTACGTCCCACTGCAACGACAGGCTCCAAGCATGCGCTGTCATCTGCTTCTGGGGGAAGTGGAGCCTGGCTCCCCCGGCTGTGTTGTTGGGCTCCTCCATCTGATGTTGAGGCTTGTGAAGACAGGGTTGGAGTTAGGGCCGGGGTCCGCATATCCTCCTCTATGCGGGCCCTGGGCCATTTCCCTGAAACTTGCTTGACTTGGGGCACTCCCTGGCAAAGTGCCCTGGTTGACCACACTCCCAGCAGACCCTGGGCCCGGGGCGTGGCCGGTGTGTTTGCTGTACTGACACAGCCCTAATCAATTCAGTCACTTCAGTCAACCATGCCGGTCTCTCTTCTTCTGAGGGGCTCTGCATTGCAGCCCTCACAGCAGGTGGCCCCTCTCTTTGACAGTTTCCAGCCGCTACACCCCACACATTCTCTCTCTCCACAGCCATCTCCAAGGCTGTCTGCAAAGACTGTGGGTGTTGCAGCTGTACCTGGACACGCAGTTCAGTGGGGAAGATTGCTCTGATGAACTGGTCCCGTGCCAGCTCGCTCTGTACTTTGGGGGGCATGTGTACATAAGCCCGTCGCGACAGGCTTTCAATGTCTTTAGCTAATGCCCGCAGCAGCTCCCCAGGTTTTCTGCAACGATTATTGAGTTCATTACGCAGGAGCTCAGGCTGCAAACACTGTCCAAAACGCCTCTGCAGAGCCCCCACCAGTGCTTGATAACTACGTCTGTCCTCCGGACTCAGCAGCAGAAGACAGGACAGCGCATCATCTGTGAGGCACAAAGCCAGCTGCAGTGCTTTAGTCTCGATGGACCATCCCCCAGCGTGGGATAATATCTCAAATTGGGCCAGGAAAGCTTCCCAGTCAGACCTACCGGAGTATTTGGGTGTTTTCACCGTTGAGACTGCTACTGGGTGCCGCCGGGCGCCGCCATCGTTATTTCCATTGTCCGGAGAAATGGCGGGAGACGTCGATGAGGGAGCCATACTCTCTACGTCTCTAGCCATCTTCACTGCAGACTCTCTCAGGTGATCCCTCGCCACACTTGAAGCTCTCGTGAACTCTGGCTATGTCCTCCGACCACCCGCATGCTCCCTCCTCCTCCATGTCCCTCCTTTCCTTCTTCACCTCCGTCCTGCCGACACCATCCATGACCAAAGCAAGCTAACTGGCTAGCTCACAACCGAAGCTAGGTAAGCTCACGACGGATTTGGCGTTACGTCTACGTCCGTCACAAAGTCACTTCTGACACCAGTGTAATGTTCCCCTTACGAGTTGGAGACAGGGTCCTTTCAAGAGGTTTATTCACAGCAATCGTCACTCTTATGGCCGAGCAACTCTAGCGAACATTATTCGTCTGTTTCTACAGTGTGTTTTACACAACAACAACAACAACTCTCCTTCCGGTTCCGGTCTAACCCCACAATGACTAGCTCCCGACACAGAACAGGCAACCCACTGTACAGGGTCGCTACAATACTCTAAATACAACTCACATTCAAATACCTCCACAGCAGTACACCTACTGTAGTAATACACAGAGGATGTAGAAGTACCTCATACAGCCTCAATATGACATCACAGCTGCACAACAGAAGCACATGCCCTCCTGTAGCTCCTCAGACGGTCCTCAGAGATGAAGAGTTGAAGTGATGATCGAACACGTCCTCGTTCCTCTGCTGGGTCCTCACCTGCTCCACTCACCTCAGGTCCACACACTGGTCACGCGCCATACACCTTCACGTGAGGAGGACACACTGGAGAGGAGGAGCTGCGCGTGTCTTCCTGTCTTCATGCAAAGTGGATCCTGAACCAGCTGTGACGTGGAAACCAGTCTCACCACCGAGTCCCGATCCGGTTGATGTCCCGGTATCACCGTGTCCACTAGAGGGCGCTATGTGACCACCCAATGAGCTGAAGAGCAGCCGTTTGGATCACATTATGCAAATACATTACATTCATTATGCAAATAGTTTGCATGTTTAATGTCTCAGTATTTTTAAAGTGTGGTATTACTACTTTAAATGTCAGAGTATTTTTGCTGTGTGGTATGATCATTTTTATTGTAACAGGGTATTTTTACAGTGTTAAATTAGTACATTTACAGTAACATAGTATTTTTAGTGTGGTATTAGTACATTTACGGTAACAGAGTATTTTTACAGTGTGGTATTAGTACTTTAGTACCCTTTAAACATGTTGTACAGGATGTAGGTACGTCGGAAAATGAACACAAGTATACATTTAGGCATTCAGTGGTTGTTTTTAATGTGCTTAAGTAATTTAAAAATCTTTAACAATAATAAATATCCGGCAATAAAACAATCAACATACAAACATATATGATGCTAAACATTTGAAAAGGCTGGAGTTCTGAACATCTCACAGAAAGCTATTTTACAGACGGACTAAAAGAAACCAAGAGCTCTGTTCCACGAGCAGAAAACCGCTTACAGCTGCGATGACCAACCAAACGTCGTCAGCTGATCATATTCTGTTTAGTCAAATATTTAGTATTTTTCCTGCTAGAACGGCTTCTCAGTAGAACCCCCCTCTGTGGGTTCCAGATGAAACCCGTGGGATACAAAAGGGTTCTATCTAGAACCCACTGGTTGGGTTCTAGATGAAACTGGTCATATCTGTGTCTACCGTGTGATCCCGTCTGTGTTTATGATCCTAATAAAGTTGTTTTACTTCATTTAAATGTTAATTCCAGTTCTAGATGATTTCACTCTTTAGGTGTTTTCAGGAAGTTCAGTAAACGTTTACTTTCATGCATCCAGTCTGACATGATGCAGGATACAGAACTACAACTCCCATCAGGCTTTGACTCCACCGCTAAGCCTCCTGGGAGTTAGAGTTGTTTAAAACTATCTATCCTTGCGCTCAAATAAAACATTAAGTCCAGGTCGTAGATTGTTGTTTATCTTCTATCAGACTTCATATCATCTGTTTGTCATGTTCATAATATTATCAAAAGTCTGTCCAGAGACACTTTGACATGATGGAGAATAATTAAAGCATCAATACGACACAAATAAAAGATATTACTCATGTATCATGGTGTTCTGATTGAGAAATATTAAAGCTAGAAACCACTCATCTCACATTATACTTGTCACAATAAGAGCTTATTCTTAAGAACAGACTATACAGACCACTGTATAAATATATATAATATAAACAAAATAAATTCAGAATATTTGAAGAGGAAGTTGCAATTATGTTTTTCAACAACAGTTACAATTTTACAAAATAAAGTTTTCCTTACATATTTATATTTAAAGCTTACATTTTACAAACAAACTGTAATATTCAAGAATAAAGTTGAAAATAAACAGAAAAAAATCATAATTCAAGACAAAGCTGTAATTTAATCTGAAAATCTCATATTTCAAAATAAAGTCCTAATTTTACAAAATAGTTATTTCAAAAATGAAGTTGTAATTTTACAATAGAGTTTAAATATTTGTAAAAGATGAGTAGAATAAAGTAGTTGTTACTACAGTGAGACAGCAGAGATAATACGACTTTTTCTAGAAAATGAACAACTTTATTTTTTAACATAACTAACAACTTGTTCTTGTGAATTCATTCTTCGTTCTCATATTATGACTTTCATCTTTACATGTCAGATTCTGAGGCCCTAACTCTCAAATATGAAAAGTCAGATCTAAAAGTGTCATTCATAAAAATGCAACGTTTACTCTATGATCTATATTTCACATAAAGATGTTGAACACTAAAGTCTGAGCCGCTCTCCTCGAGGCCGTGCTACGAATCATCCTGCTAACAGAGAGGTCACAGGTTCAATTCCCTCCCTGTGTGTCAGCAGCCAAATGTCTCTTATTACTTCACCGTCTTTACATTTACGTCACACACACACACACACACACACACACACACACACACACACCCTGCTCAGGTCTGGTGTTTCAGTGCGTGTCGGCTCCTTTTTTGCCAGAAAGCAGCTCTGTATCTCTTCAGTTGTTTGTCAGTTGTCCTCTTCGTCGCAGCATGTTGCTCTCTGAAGAAGAGACGAGAAGAGATAAACAGTTTGAATGTTTTCTATCAGTCTGTGTTCCTGTTTACAGAATAAGAGTCTTAATCTTTTATTTTGGAGAAAGTGTCTTCACTAATAGACGTTCTTTAGTTTAGAACATGGAGAACAAAACTCTGTTCAGCGGTTCAACGGAGAGAGACAAAGATCCTCTGAGCAACAGCTGAATCAGAAGAGAAGAAATCATCAGTCATTGGTCAAAGAAACAGGAAGCTGAGATTCAAACAGGAAGAGCTTCCTGTTTCAGTGTCAAGAGTTTCACAATAAACTAACTAACTGTCGCTTTAGTTGCCTGAACCTAACTGTCGCTTTAGTTGCCTGAACCTAACTGTCGCTTTAGTTGCCTGAACCTAACTGTCGCTTTAGTTGCCAGAACCTAACTGTCGCTTTAGTTGCCTAAACCTAGCCTAACGTGTTGGTTGTCATGTGACACTGAGGACGTCCACTGAAGGGAAGTCAGAATCTCTTCAGTGAAACTGTTTCACGTGTAAATAAACATGTGGTGTGAATGATTCTGTTTCTCTCTGGTAACAGTTATTATTGAAGGAGGGATAAAGAACAACAGCTGTGTGTGTGTGTGTGTGTGTGTGTGTGTGTGTGTGTGTCCTCACTCTGTCTGCAGGGAGCAGAAGCTCACACACTCGTTGTCCTGTGTGTGTGAGCAGAGGCAGCGTCCGAGCTCCCGCTTCAGTCGGACGGAACCGAACCCATAAGGAACCACGTGGCTGGAAGACAGAACCCTGAGGAGTCAGTGTGATCGGTACCACGGCGGTGTCCGGTCTGGTGTCCGGTCTGGTGTCCGGTCTGGTGTCCGGTCTGGGAGTCGTCCGTGTTTTCATCTCACTACTTTAACTTTAACTTTAACACTTTCACTTCATCAAAGTTAATTGGAACATTTTTGTCTGAAAAAACAAGATGGCGAGGTCTGTTGTTGTTGAGTTATTTAGAAGTTACATGTTTTCTGTACTTATGATACCTTGTTTACGTTTTACTTACTTCATGTACTTATTTTAACCCTAAATACGATGTGTTCCCGGTACGTTAACCTGGTTTACTGCGACCGTAGAGGAGCGTCATCGTGTGACCAAGTGGAATTAGTGGCGCGTTGGGCTCCAGCATGAACACTGATGTCCTCAACATGCAGAATCAAGTCTCGTCCAAACAGTTTGATATTTAGTGAAACACGTTTTCGGTGCTCTGCAGTGAATCAGGGGGAGCCGGTGGGACCGCTGTGTCGGATCTGGACCGGCTGCAGGTGATGGAGGGTGCAGAGCTGGATTCATGGAGGGGTTAACTAGACCACCGGGAGAAGATGCTGAACAGCACCACGTCTGTAAAACATTCATCTCTACTAAAGGGGCCGTCGTCTCCCTCCTGCGGCTGACACATCTGTTTCTCCTCTCTGTGTTCAGAGATGTGACCCCATCATCTCGCACAGCTTCTGTCAGCTCGTATCTGCACCAGCAGTTATTCATGCCAGTGGTATGTGGAGTGTTTTACGTGTGTTTTCCAAATATTACGCACAAATCAAACACACGTTGTAGAAGTCGTTGTTCGTTTGTAGGTCATGTGACCGGCTACATCCTCTGTTGGGATCTCTTCAGAGTGTCAGTGAGCTCCTCCTCCAGTCTCTGCTTCTGCTGTTATTTTACAGTTTCAGATTATTAAAACTAAATACTATTTAATATTTAATGATAATGTATTATTGTAGATTAAACTACCAGAAGTATATAGAGTCATTAACATGAGCTGCAACATTAAAGTGATGAACACAATAATTATAACACAATTATATATATTATTCTGCATAATGCCAACTTTTGGTTCTACGGTTGTGTGGCCTGCGATGTGTTCAGGTTCTCCTATAAATGGGTCAAACTCAGATTAGAGCTTGAGGTTAAAACAACGTTTGTAGAAAAGATGAAGAAACGTTGTAATCGTGTCGTCTGGCTGAATCGGCTGTTTGTGTCACGGGGCATGATGAGGACTCAAACGCAGACAGTCAGGTGTGGTGAAAAAAGGGTTTTAATGAACCAAAAACAAACACGGAATCCAGGGACAAGACAAAGACGAGGGGGGAAATCCGGCAGGACAAGGCAGGGCAGGCAGACTGGAAAACCGAGAACAGGACGAGCAAAACGGGCAGGTAGGTAGGAAACAAACAACGATCTGGCAGCGGGTGTGTGTGTGAGGCAGGGGTTTAAATAGTGAAGGAGGCAGAGTGAGCAGGTGAGAGTAATGAGCTGAGTGTGACTGGCAGGTGCACTGAATGAACTGATGAGGAGAGTGAGGAGCTACAGAAAGAAACAGAACACAGAACACAGAACACACAGGGCAAAGCCTGATCGTGACAGTTTGATAAATCTTTGTGCCACGTGATGGATGTTAAATAATCTGCTGTTGTTTGAGTTGGTCGAAGGTGAGCGAGGTTATGCCGGAGGACGCTTCGTTGTCTTTGGTTTGGACCTCAGTCCGTTTGGACGCTCGTAGAATCAAACCTCCGGCTGGTTTCACTGTTTAGTTTTTACGCTCGTGAGGGTGAAAATCTGCAAAAACAAATCCATGAAATGAAAACCTTTGTGAGAAGTGGATTTTAACGATAACATTGACCCTGAAAGAACTGAACAGTTTGTTTTTCTCTGGCACACAATAGCAGCGAAGAAGTGGACGTAAAGTTTAGTGCTTCTCTATTGTTAACACACCGCATAACAAGACCAGAACCGGAACCGGCCCAGTGCTGACAGTCTGTTGCTTTAAATAAAAACCACATGAAGCTCTCCTAAAACACACAGAGAGACATTTGATGTTGAAACACAGCAGATTTAAGTGCTGAAGAGCTCATTGCACTCAGATTTATTGGAGTCCAGCAGCTCCAAACAAACAATCGCTTCAAGCAGTTGTTTTTACACTTTGACACCGTGTTGGAAAGTTAAGAGTCAAAGAGACTTCCTGTTGGAGTACAAAGACATGTCATCCCTGCAGCTCTCCAGAGAGAGAGACAGACTCACTTCCTGTCTGTCTCTCAGCTTCAAGCCCATTGGTTCCTACTGAAGATGTGAATATTTAAAAACACAAATATATAGTGTCATCAGTAATCTCCTAAAACAGCTGGTCTCTGTAGTGCATGTTGGATTGAGTCAGAATAAACTACTGAGTGTGTGTTCATGGTGATGAAGGAACAGCAGCTGCCACCTCGAAAAGAAATACCTTGCAACTCCATTTTTAGACAAGCTAATAAAAAATAGAGCTATAAAGCTATATATATATAAAGCTATAGAGCTATATAGCTAAATAGCTATAAAGCTATAAAGCTATGAAGCTATATAGCTATGAAGCTATAAAACTATAGAGCTATAAAGCTATGAAGCTATAAAGCTATAAAACTATAAAGCTATGAAGCTATAAAGCTATATAGCTATGAAGCTATGAAGCTATAAAGCTATGAAGCTATATAGCTATATAGCTATAAAACTATGAAGCTATGAAGCTATATAGCTATAGAGCTATAAAACTATAAAGCTATAAAACTATGAAGCTATAGAGCTATAAAGCTATACAACTATGAAGCTATAAAGCTATAAAGTTATGAAGCTATATAGCTATAAAACTATAAAGCTATAGAGCTATAGAGCTATAAAGCTATAAAACTATGAAGCTATGAAGCTACGTATATAGCTATAGAGCTATAAAACTATAAAGCTATAAACCTATAGAGCTATAAAACTATAAAGCTATAGAGCTATAAAGCTATAAAACTATGAAGCTATAAAGCTATATAGCTATAGAGCTATAGAGCTATAGAGCTATAGAGCTATAAAGCTACGAAGTTATGAAGCTATAGATGGATGAAATTAACTAGGCTCCCCGTGTAGTTTATGTTTGTGATGGATTAAATCAGACTTTGAACACGTGCTGCACTGATCACTAATATATCACTAATAATATCATTTAATATATAAAAGAAAATGGAGTCTGCAGGACAGGCTGCAGAGGAGGACAGGACTTCCCTGAAGCTTCAGGGCTTGGTGGTGTAGTTAGTGATGGTGGGCTCTGCCAGTGCTGTTTAAAGCGTCTTTATGATGAAGGCAGGGAGATTAGGTTCAACCACACTGCTATGTTTAGACCAGACCAGCAGCCTAAGTGAGCGGGTCCCACCGCTGCAGGAGCCGTGTTTAGCTCATCTAAGGAAGCCATTTCTTCTGGAATGTGACTCACATGAGCGGCACAGTTAGTCCACACAGGTTGGTTAAAGTTGTTGGATTACTTTGGATGCTCGAGAATCAAACTGTAGAAATTAACATCAAAATCCAATTTACATTTCAACAACATGGTTTTTGTGTTTGTTTACCGCCACATGACAAATACAAAGTATGAAAATTAACACTGTGATGTGAACTGGCCGGCTGTGAGAACTTAACTGGTTGCGGTCCAGATCAGGGTCCAACCACAGGGATTTCAGAGTCCTTGTGGTCTCCTTGTTGGCTTCGTGTTAAACGGGTTCAAACAGGAACTACCCTCCATTAGGAAATGAGCTCCTCACATCCAGCTGCTCACTCACTGCTTGTGCACACTGAACTGAAATGAAGTTAATTGCCACCGATTGTGAAGAGAGTCTGGTTCCAATTTAAAGATATGAACAGCTCACAGCAGGGATTCACCCCTCAGCTCCTTCATGTAATCTATTACAGTGCTGGCCAACACTACATTTAGAGTTCAAACATTCACAGACTAGCAGGTTTCTTTAGTTCTATCCACAGTGAGTCTGTGTGAGTCCGTCACCGTTTATCATAAGAAGTCAGAGTCAGCATGTTGTCATCCACTGGCTTGTGGACTGACGTTCTGAAGCCTTGAGTTTGGCATTTTCACCGTCGCAATCTTGGTTTATTTGAAAACTCAACAGTCTCAGATTTATTGACAGACTGATTAATATCCAGACGAACAGGAGACACGGATACATTTGAAAACGTCAGTTCACAACGAAGCTCACATTCTGAATCTAATCTGTTCATTATTTGACTGTATATGTCATTTATATCCTCAATGTGTTTCATATAAACTGTGGTAAAGTATTGACTTAATAATAACCTTCCTGACACTCCGGAGGTCACAATTATTCAATATTTAAAAGCGTTGAGAATATTATCCCCGAGGATAAAAAGTAAAAATGCTTTTATTTTGTAATCGTCAGTCACCAGAATACAGGAAACAAGGAGGTTCTGTAGCTTCTCCCTACTGAAGGTCTGCAGGTTGTTCTGTGTGATGATTGATTGTTACGTTCCTCCTCTGAAACCTTCTGACTTGCAGACCGGCGGGAGTTCCTCTTGGTTTTATGTGAGCTCCTCCCTTCTCCTCCCTTCCCAAAAAACATGCTCCAGCTCCTGCTGCAGCAGCAGCTGGAGCATGTTTTTTGTCGTCGCGCTTGAACTCAAATTCATCACGACGCTCAGACGGACTCACCTCGGCGTGTTGACCCAGACGATGCCGATGTGGCAGAAAAATATACACTCCTTGTCTTTCTGGTTCTCGCAGGAGCAGCGTTTCTCTCGCCGGTGGGCCGTGTGGGCGAGCTGCACCAGGGGGCCCTCCTCCGCTGTGGGGCTTGTGAGAGAGGCGGCTGGGGAGCACAAGTGGAAGAGGGTGGTTAGTGTCTATTAGTTATGATAATGATTATATTTCTCTGGTAGTTTTATAACGTCTGCTCTGTGTAAACCAACCAAACTTTGAAGTCTGTATCGTTAAGTGCAGTGGGGCCGTGTGGAGGAGCTGCACCAGAGGACCTCCTCCAGATAAAGGGAATACCAGTAGGATTAATGTTTAGATTACAGTCCTGTGGATCTCCTTCACCAATATCTGAACCAAATACAAAATCTGATCCATATAGTAGCTGTTGAGACATCTGAGTCTGAAGCAAAGTGTTCAGACAGACAGACAGACAGACAGACAGACAGGAGGACAGACAGACAGGCAGGCAG